GTATGACTGTGTGATGAGGCGTCTCATTAGCATTAATTATATTTATAAATATATTTACATTACAATTACAAGCACAGAGAGCCAGGTCATGCTCCAGGTGTTTCCAACTGCTACATACATACATATTAGTATAGACCGGTGGAGGCTTTGAGCTCGCGACGAGAGCGAGTGTTTGGCCACGGCTTTGAAGTACCCTTTGCGCACTCTCGAACTACGAACTTTAGCTCGCAGGCTACACCTCGAACGGCGAACATGCCGCTTCTTTCGAGCGATGGCTTTTTCTTCGGTGCAACTTTGTTTTCGATACCAACAGTATTTAGTGTTTCCGATTCGTGATGTGTGACAAGGAGCACAACACACACACCATTTTCCTTAGAAGGGAAATCACTTGGCCAGAAATCACTTGGCCAGAATACAAAAACAAAGAAACATCACTTGGCCAGAATTCTGAGAATACAAAAACAAAGAAACAAACAAGCAAATCTATGTCCGTGAATACAGGTATCGAATCACTAGATAGAGTATCGTCAACGAGACTTTGGTCTTTCCGAGGATTTTAGATCAAAGGATTAAGAACAAAAGGTTCGTCGTTTGAGGGTGTGTGCCCAGTGCCTTTGGGTGGGTGTGTGCCCAGTGCCTTTGGGTTTGAGTAACTTTAAAGAGAAGCCTCTATTTCCAGGGGAAGGGACGGTCGTTTAGCGCAAATAAGGGGGGGGAAAGTAATACCGACGGACAGAAACAACGGAGAGAGAAAAAGGGGGTGGGGGCGTACAAGTGGCACCTGAGAGTTTGGTCAAGACATTGAAGTGCCTTTGAGTTGTGAGTAAAGAGAAGCACACCGGCACGAAAACGATCGTTAAACGCTGGGGAAAAGTAACTCTCTCTCTGTCTCTCTCTCTCTCTGTCTCTCTCTCTATCGAGAGAGAGAGAGAGAGGGAGAGAGAGACGATATGTGTATTATGTGTGACGATGTGTGTGTGTGTGTGTGTGTGTGTGTGTGTGCGCGCGCGCGCGCGCGTATGTGTGTGGTGGTGTGTGACGGTGCCTTGTTGCCCTTTCCCCGTGCGTCCTGGGAGGAGTTTTTACGTCTTTTTTGTGCTTCTCTTGGCGCCCCTTCACTGGTCTCACCGGGACCCGCGGCTAAGGAGCTTCGAGAGAGTTGTAAAACCATTCTGCCCTGGACTGAGTGGACCCTTGTCCAAGGTGGAGCCGCGCTTACTTGTTGCGTAACATGAAACGGAATCCAGCACCGTTTTCCCCCCTCTCTTATAAAAAAAAAATTGGGTTCGCCTTACCTGAAAACCAGCAAAATTGTTGGGGTCATTTTTTTTTTAACTTTTTAAGGAAAGGATGGGGTTGCGCTATGTGTGTCGTTTGAGTCATTTCATTTTTTTTTCTTTTTGTCTTGTCCGTGTCTTGTTTCAGTGTGTGTCAGCTCAGTTGTGTCGGTGCTAAATAGGTTGCGTCGAGTGGGTGGTTGGCGGGTGCTCTGGTGTGGTCTGCACAACCTTTCTCATCAAACATCTATTATCCTTAAAATATCTCTCTCTTCCTTCTTTTCTATTGTATGATACTTCCTAGCAACGTTTCTTTTCTTTAGAAAATATTTGACCTTATTGTGTTGCAAGTGCTGTAAAACTCTTTACTAAAACTACTTTAAAAAATACATGTACTAAAAACCTGCAATATGAAAAATATTGTTGGGTTATGTTCTCATAAAGTGGGTTTGGGGGGGGGGGGTATTTTGTGCGTGAGGGATTGGAATGTTTTGTGCGTCATTTTAACTATGTCACTTTGTTTCCTGTCCTGTTGTTGTGTTGTTTCAGTATGTCTGCCAACTGCGCCAGAGTGCTAAATATGTCTTCGATATGTGTCATACACATCTTTTTCAGCGGGACTGGGACTTTCCAAATGGAGGGATACGAGTTCTACCTACAACTATTGATTTTTTATTTTTTATTGTTACAATTTATATACGACACTGTTTTATTTTCTCTGCCTATCTTGCTATTTTCCCCTGCGTCTGTTGTCGTGGATGGATCGATGTGATTCTCTTTCATCAAACTAAAAAAAAACCCAACCCAAAACACTAAACAATTAATGGCCCAACCTGACAAGTGAATATAAGCGTGCCTCGCTCTTTCTTCCACCGTTGTAACTTTGACGTCATTGGGTCGGCTTGTGCATCACCTCCCTGTAACAAAACGCCCCCCCCCCCCCATTACACTCTCACAAACACACACGTATACAACTGGA